AGTTTAAAAGAGAAGTGAACCAGGACCTGAAACAAAGTCTTTGTTCTTCATGGCATTCACTTTCTAAGAGTTCAGGCCATGTTGCCCTGCAAAACATCATGCTCTAGCCATCCAGGTAGAGCCAACTTAAACCTCAGAAGTGATAACCAGTGAAAAAGAAAGCCATATTTGTGGCTGGGAACTCCAGGGTGGGTCAAACAAAGAGATCAGCATTTTATGCATATACTTGAAAACAATAGTGAGGAAGAGTTAATGAGGAAGAGATAATGGAAAGAGTCAGACCAAAGAGAAAAGAATAAGCAATTGCTGCTAAGATAAAGTAAAAGAGGAAGGATTGAGGTGAGATGAGATGGGGAAAATCCACAGAGCCAGCAAGGGTGTGCAAAGAACCATGTTGAAGATTACTAAGTTTTTCCCCAGGGCTTTATTAAAGAGCTGTCTTCTTCATCTGAAATGCCCCATTTTCTTCAACTCCAGATTAGGGTATAGTTTTTGGCCATAACAGGGGTTACAGTGGGTCCCTCAACATTTATATTCACTTGGGCATCCCATCCTTTGCTGAACTTGCAAATAAAGCATGTCGCTATAAGACACTACATTATTTTGGTCTTGGTACCAGGGCATGGTTTGTTTCACTCACTTAGTTGGGTCAGAATTGGCCTTAGAGACTGGGCTACACCAAGCAGAACCCAGAGGAAGCACATGAACAGATACTTGACCAATGAGGACATTCAGATGGCCAACAAATACACATAAGGAAACTTGTAATCATTACCCATTAAAGAGATGCAGACAAAAATTGCACAAAGATAGCAGCTCATCCCTGGAAAAATGACTAAATAAATAAATAACAGAGAAGAGCAAATACCGACAAGGTTGTGGAAATCTCATATACTGTTGGTGGAGTTGAAAATGGTACTACCACTAAAGAAAATGTTATGACATTTCCTCAGAGCTAGATCTTATGATCATGTAATCCCATTCCTAGGATTACATACAAAATAAACCTGATCAGTGACATAAATAGACATATCCTCATATATGTTCATTGTAATATTATTTACAATAGAGGAAAATGGAAATAACCAAATGTTCATCAACAGATGAGTGGATAAACAAATTGTGATATACCTACAATAAAATATATGTAACCATAAAGAATAATGACTCAAAATGGGAAGAAACAGCTGAAAAAATCCATTATAATCAGAACATGGAATGTATGAAATATGAATCTAGGAAAATTGATAGTTGTCAAAAATGAAATGGAATATACAAAGATCAGTATCTTAGGCATTAGTGAGCTGAAACAGACTGCATTTTGAATCAGACAATCATATGATCTACCATGCCAGGAATGACAAATTGAAAAGGAATGGTGTGGCATTCATTATAACAAAGACCATTTCAAGATCTGAAGTACAATGCTGTCAGAGATAGGATAATATTCATACACCTACAAGGAAGACAAATTAATACTACTATCATCTAAATTTATGTACCAATCACCAAAGCCAAAGATGAGGAAATTGATGATTTTTACCAACCTTTGCAGTCTGAAATTGACCAAAGATGCCATCCAGATATGTTGATTATTAATGGTGCTTGGAATGCAAAAGTTGGAAACAGCGAAGACCAGTAGTTGGAAAATGTGGCCTGGGTAATAGAAATAATGCAGGAGATCACATGACAGAATTTTGCAACACCAATGACTTATTCATTGTAAATATCTATTTTCAATGACATAAGTCATGGCTATTTATGTGGATTTCATCAGATAGAATACACAAGAATCAGATCAACTACATCTGTGGAAAGAGGAGATGGAGAAGCTCAATATCTTCAGCCAAAATAAGGCCAGCAGATGACTATGGAGCAGACCATCAACTGCTCATGTGCAAGTTCAAGTTGAAGCTTAAAACAATTATAAAAAGTCCACAAGAACCAAAATATGACCTTGAATATATCCCCCCTGAATTTAGAAACCATCAGAAAAAAAATTTGACACTTTGAACATCAAAGTCTGGAAAACAGAGTTGTGGGATGACATCAAGAACATCAACCATAAAGAAAGCAAAAGGTCATTTAAGACAGGAAAAGAAGAAAAGACCAAAATAAATGTCACAAGAGACTCTGAAAGTTGTTCTTTAATGGGAGAGTTAAAGCAAATGGAACAAACGATGAGATAAAGGAGCTGAACAAAAATTTCAAAGAACAGCTTGAGAATACAAAGTCAATTATTATAATGAAATATGCAAAGACATGGACTTAGAAAACCAAAAGATAAGAACATACTCAGTATTTCTCAAGCTGAATGAACTGAAGAAAATATTCAAGCGTCTAGTTTCAATATTGAAAGATTCTATGGACAAAATATTCAATGATGTGGGAAACATCAAAAGAAGATGGAAAGAATATACAGTCACTCTATCATAAAGAATTGGTCAATGTTCATCCATTTCAGGAGGTGGCATATGATCAAAAGCCAATGGAACTGAAGGAAGAAGTTGAAACTTCACTGAAGGAATTGAGAAAATCAAGGATCCAGGAATTGATGGAATACCCACTGTGATTTTTCTACAAAAGGATGCTGCATTGGAGGCACTTATTCATCTATGCTAAGAAATCTAGAAGAAAGCTACCTTGCCAAACTGACTGGAAGAGATTCATATTTGTACCCATTGCAAGGAAAAGTGATCTCATAGAGTGTGGAAATTATCGAACCGTATCATTAATATCACACACAAGTAAAATCTTGCTGAAAATAATTCAAAAATTGTTGCAGCAGTATGTTGACAGAGGCCTCCCAGAAATGCAAGCTGGATTCAGAAGAGGATGTGGAATGAGGGATATCATTGCTGACATCAGATGAATCTTGGCTGAAAGCAAAGAATACCAGAAAGATGTTTACTTGTATTTTATTGTCTATGAAAGAGCATTTGATTGTGTGGATCCCAACAAATTATGGATGACATTGAGAAGAATGGGAATTCCAGAACAATTAACTGTACTCACGAGGAACCTGTACAAAGACCAGGAGTCTGTTCAAACCCACATTCAGCTTCTTTGGAGAAACATGAGGATGTTTGCTTTTTGAAGATATGCAGCCTTGGAAACTCTATGGGGCAGTCTGAGTTAGAATCCACACGAGGGCAGTGGGTTTTGGTTTAATAGTTAATGATCATGAGCATTTCTTCATGTGTTTGTTGGCCACCTAAATGTCTTCATTGATGACATGTCTATGCATGCCTTCTGCCCATTTTATAATTGAGTCTTTTTATATTTTTGTTTTGAGGTGTTGACATCTTCTATAAATATTAAAGAATAATCTCTTGCCAGATATATCATTGTCAAAGATATTTTTCTAAGCTATAGATTCTCTTTATCTCATTTGGAGAAGTCTTTGATGTGCATAAACAAAAAACAAGAAAGGAAAACCAAACTCACTTCCATTTAATAGATTCCAGCTCCCATTGGGTTTCTGAGGCTATAAATTTTTACAGAAGTAGATTGTCCTTTTTGCCTTGCTTGGAGTGGCTGGTGGATTTGAACTGCTGACCATTTAGTTAACAGCTAAATGTGTTACCCACTATGCCACCAGAGCATATATATTATTTTTAGAAAGTTCCAGTCATCTAGTTTATCTTCAGATGTTTTTGCATTTTGTGTTGATAGTCTATTTATGCCAAAAATCAGGGCTCTTAGTTTGTTCTTGTTTATTTTGATAACATTTGTAGTATTAGGTTTTACATTTAGTTTTGTAAACCCCCTTGAGTTACTGTTTGTATATTAGATTAGGTATGGATTGTGTATAATTTTTTTGTAAATGGAAACCAGTTTTCCCAGCACCCTTTGTTAAAGAGACGATCTGTGTTTTGGTTCTCTAGTGCTGCTCTAACAGAAAATATCACAAATGGGTGGTGTTAGCAAACAGGATTTATATTACTATTACAATTTTAGAGGATAGAAGTTGAGTTCAAAGTGCCAGCTCTTGGCGCTCATGACTTTGGGCTTCAGTTCTGCCTCTTGTTCCTGGCCACTGGAACTGAAGGCTTCTCTTAATTTAGGCAGCTGCTGGCTGCTGAGGCTGACAAACCCAAGATTACCAAACAATTGGCAGGCCACTAGTTCAAGTCCAGAGACCATCCCGAGATCAGCAGGAAATATGGCAGGCAGCTGAATGAAGACTTGCCTACATGTAGGGTCTAAACATGCCAAAAAACTCCAGAGACTTTTTCAGTGCTTCTTCTTATATGCTGGAAGCAGACCACATCCTTAAGGTGGCTACTAAGCTCCTCCAGTTGTTTCCATCATGGAGCTGATTACATGTCTCATCATGGGAAATAACTACATCCAGCAGCCCAGCCACTCAACACCAGGCCCAGCCAAGCTGACACACAAGTTAACTACCACAATTTCCTCTCCACTTAATGGAGTTTGGCCCTTTGTCAAAGATCAGCTTTCTAAAAGTGGATTGATTTACTTCTGGGTTCTAAATTCTGTCCCATAATTCTGTGTGTGTGTGTCATTGTACAAGTACAAAGCTGTTTTAACTACTGTGGCTGTGTAGTGGGTCTTGAGATTGAGAAATGTGAGATTTCTTACTTTATTCTTCTTTATCAGTAGTGCTTTGTTTCACCATGGACTCTTTCCTTTCATTTGATGCTGAGTTCCATAATTATCATAGTTTAATGCAACCTTCTCACAATAATGTGTCTATGTATAATCTGCTGATCTATCTATCTATCTATATGCATGTCTGCATTTATTAATTAATCTACTTTTTTGTGATAGGGATATTTTACCCTTCATGTAACAAAAATTAATATGTTATGTTGCTGCTGCTGTTGTTATGTGCCGTCGAGTTGGATCCAACTCACAGCAACCCCTCCATGGGTTTCCGAGGCAGTATTACTACAGAAGTAGATTGCCCAATCTTCTTTCTGGAATATGTGAAGAAATGTAACTTCAATTCACCATTCTTTATTTATCAACTGAAGTCATAATTTGCTACACCATAACTTTTTCATGGCATTTTTCACTCCTTCATTCCTCAGTGTGTAGATCAGAGGGTTAAGCAAGGGTGTCCCAATTGTATAAAACACAGCCACCATCTTGTCCACTGAAAATGAGGTTGGTGGGCGTGTGTATATGAATATGCATGGACCAAAAAATATGACAACCACAATTAAATGGGTGGTGCAGGTGGACAGAGCTTTTCGCCTTCCTTCTGCACTGTGGTTTCTCAGGGAGTACAAAATGACACCATAGGAAATGAGCAAGGCTATGAAACTCATTATGCTTAGGGCTCCACTGTTAGATACAATTAGCAAATTAATCACATAAGTGTCCATGCAGGCAAGTTGCATCAAGGGCTGTAAGTCACATAAATAGTGATCAATCACATTGGGACCACAGAAGGGCAATTGCAAGGCCAGGAATATCTGTGCTGTAGAATGGATACCAGCTCCCACCCAGGCCAGAATTGCCAACATGTTACAGACACGCTGGCTCATGATGGTTGTGTATCGCAGGGGCTTACAAATGGCCACATAACGATCAAAAGCCATGAGGATGAGAACAAAGACCTCCATGCACCCAAATAAATGGAAGGTAAAGAGCTGGGTCATGCACTCATTGTAGGAAATAGACTTCTTCTGAGTCAGAGCATCCACAATCAGTCTGGGGGCCGTAGTTGTAGAAAAGCAGGCATCAGCAAAGGACAGGTAGAACAGGAAGAAGTACATGGGACCCCCAAGGGTTGCACTTGTCTTAATAGTCACCATAACGAGAGTGTTCCACAGTAGAGTCAAAAGGTAAAGAATCAAGAAGATTCCAAAAACTACTTTCTGCTTTTCAGTGTCCTGAGTTAACCCAAACAGAATGAAGTCAGTCACAGTTTTATTCATCACCATATCAGTAGCTGTAGGTAGGATGCAGTTGACAAGGGTCTAATCTGCAGAGAGGAGAAACAAATGGTTTTTTGGGTAGATCACTAGCTAAACTCTGAATTCATTGACCCTGCTTAACTGTCTTTGGTGTGCACCAAAATTCTCCGTGAATCTTTGTAAATCTGTAGTCATCCAACCATCACTTACATGCATCTATTGATTCAAAAACTGACTCATTGAACCATCACTTTTGTACTTTAGGAATGAAATAAAAATATATCCTATGCACATATTGATTTTTACAAAGACTAAGAAATAAAGAAGATGTTATTTCCTTAGGCAAGTGACATAACTGCTTTAAAACTAAGCTCAAGTGAAAAATGAAGTGTTAATATCTGCCCTATCTTATTTTGAGTTATCACAAGAATTTTGAAAAAAAGTTACTTTCACACATATACATGCATATATATTTTGTGTGTTATACATCTTCTCTAAGTGCTTTTAAATATGAAAAACACTGTTCCAATTTGACTAAGTATCAATATTGCTAGAGAATCCTCTCAGAAGAACATATTATCAGTTCTGTTAAGATATTTTAGCATT